GATATACAATAAAAATGTAACTATATATGGATATACAGAATATCTATGAATATGCAGAATATATGTCTATGGAAGGAATATATATGACTGTACAGAGTGTTTATGAACATATTGAAAATAAGTATAATGCACAGAAGTTTATACAAGATATTATTATATATTATCAGGGAAAGTATCAGTGTGTGTATGGGGATAGACGAGTTGAGGAGTTCAATAAGGAAACTGCTGTATGGTAAAAGCTGTTCCTTAGCCTGCTGGTCTTAGACTGCAGGCATCTGAACCTCCTTCCAGATGGAAGAAGGGTAAACAGTTTATGGGCTGGATGGGAGAAGTCCTTAATGATGCTGTAGGCTTTTCGCAGACAACGTTTCCTCTGAATGTCCACGATGGCAGGAAGTGGGATCCCTATAATGCATTGGGCGGTTTTCACCACCCTCTGTAATGCCTTCCTTTCTTTAATGGTGCAATTTCCATACCAGACTGAAATACAGCTGGTTAGGATGCTCTCGACTGCACAGCAGTAGAATTTGATCAGAAAAGTCAGGGAAAGGTGATTGCCAGCGCACCATGTAACTAGGCTCTGCACCTCCTCCCTGTACTCTGAGTCATCGTTATCATTGATGAGTCCAATCACCGTGGTGTCGTCTGCAAACTTGATAATGATGTTAGAGCCATGCACAGGCCTGCAGTCATAGGTGAAAAGAGAGAACAGGAAGGAACTCAGCACACAGCCTTAGGGAACGCCAGTACTTAGTGTGATGATGGAGGAAGTGGAGTTATTCAACTTGACATGTTGTGGCCTGTTTGTCAAGAAGTCCAATTGCATCCAATTGCAGAGAGTAATATCGATGCCAAGGTCACCAAGTTTAGTGATCAACCTGGAGGGAATGACTGTATTGAATGCTGAACTGAAGTCAATGAACAGCATTCTTGCATAGGTGTTCTTATTCTCCAGGTGTGTTAGAGTGGTGTGTAATGCTATGGAAACAGCATCGTCAGCGCTCCTGTTCTTGCTATAGGCAAATTGATAATGGTCAGTGTGGTTGAGAGACAAGTTTTGAGGTGTGCCAGGACTAACTGTTCAAAGCACTTCATGATTGTAGATGTAAGTGCTATAGGGTAGTAGTCATTCAAATACTCTGGCTTGGAGTGTTTAGGCACCAGCACGATGGAAGTGGTCTTGAAACAAGTTGGTACAGTTGCTTGGGAAAGAGACAGATTGAAGATGTCAGTCAAAACCACAGACAGCTGTCCAGCACAGGCCCTGAGTACACATCCGGGAATGCCATCAGGGTCCACAGCTTTATGTGTGTTGATCTGGCTCAGAACAGCACAGATTTCAGTGATTGAAAGTGTGAGGGGCTGTAAGTCTACAGAAGATCTGGTCTTGGTGGCTTTTTCCTGATTGTCTCATTCAAAACGAGCATAAAAAACATTTAGCTCATCAAGAAATGAAACATTAGCGGATGAGGGAGTAAAGTGGGCAGGCTTATAGTCAGTGATGTTCTGGATGCCCTGCCACATACGCCGGGGATTGGAATTAGCGAAGTGATCCTCAAAACTTAGCTTGTAGCTACGCATCACTTTCTTGATGCCCCTTCTCAAATCAGCTCTGGATGCACTGTAGGCCTGTCTGTCACCAGATCTGAAGGCACCATTTCAGGCCCTGAGCAGGAGACGAACCTCCCTATTTATCCATGGCTTCTGATTAGGGTATGTGGTAATCTGTTTTTCAGTTGTGACACTGTTAATCATGGAATTAATATAATCCAGGACAGAAGAGGTGTATTTATCAATGTCCACGTGAGAATCAGAGGTAGCTTGGGAAGCAAACATACTCCAGTCTGTATGCTGAAATTGGTCCTGCAGTATATTGTCTGATTCTTCCGGCCAGACTTTAATTGTAATCACAGAGGGTTTCACACGTTTAATGAGTGATGTGTATTTAGGGAGTAAAAACAATGGGAGGTGATCGGACTGCCCCAGGTGGGGGAGAGAGAAGGCTCTGTATGCATCTTCAACATTAGTGTAGACATAATCCAATGTTTTATCCCCCCTTGTATAACAAGAGATATTCTGATGAAATTTAGGGAGTACTGTTCTCAAGTTAGAGTGGTTAAAATCACCCCCAACAATGAAAGCTGCCTCAGGATGCAATGCTAATTGTTTGCTAATGGCTGCATGTAGTTCTTTCATTGGTAGCTTAGCATTAGCGTCCGGTGGTATGTATGCAGCAGATATTATCAAAAAAGTGAACTCCCTCGGTAGATAAAAAGGTCTACACTTGATCATGAGAAATTCCACATTAGCAGAGCAGTGTTTCTCGATGATAGCAAAGTTTGTGCACCAGATTTTATTTACATAAATATATAAACCCCCACCTTTGGTCTTATCAGAGCCTTCTACTGTCCAACTGCAGCATGCAGTGATCGGCTAGTTCAATAGCGCTATCAGGAATGCCACCATTCAGCCATGTTTCCATATGGATTATGATGTTACAGTCCGATAATCCTTTGTTGGTGGCAATACGAAGTAGAAGTTCATCCATCTTATTTGCCAGAGATTGTACATTATCAAGAAAAATGCTGGGTAAAAAGAGCCAACGAGGCTTTAGCCTTTGCTTAGCTCTCAACCCTCCGCATTTCCCTCATCTTTGCTTATGGCCTCGATGCCGCCTATGAGCACTTCCGCCTGGCTGGGAAGAGTGCTGGCTGGGAAGAGTCTCTGATGTCTTGGAGATCTCGGCAGGGATGAGACAAATGTCCAAAAAGTCGCAGTTATGGTGATTAGAACCAATTTCCAAAAATTCCTGTCGGGTGTAGGGAGCTAGGCTCAAACTGTTTTGTATAAACAGACTGGCTACGAAAAATAAAATAGCTAATAATTTGCGGATTCTGGGTAGACACAAAGCCTCGCGTTGTGCATGCACCACCATCTTGCATATGAATGAATACGGTATACATTAGTTATCAGGCTCAGTTTAGTGGTGAAAGCACAAGTCTAGAAACTCAGAGACCATATGTTCTTGCCCTGCCTTAACCAAACGGGGTGCACTTAGTTTCAGCTCTAGGAAGGCAGCAACAGCAAACCACCTCTAAAATCTTGCCCAAAAAATCCTGCAAGGATTTGTCCTGGTAAGCACCAGGAGTCAATACTGATTTGAAGGAACCCACAGCAACAAATATCAAAGTTACTCTAGTTTGCTAATAGTTTTCTGTGGCTCACGTAGTCTGGACTACCTAGATATATGCACAACAAATCTTGCATTGTTTTTAAAAAGAATTTAAAATTACTGAAGCCAAAATTAGAAACTATTATCTAATTCCAGAAACAGGAACTCAGAAAAGGGGCAGCGAGGGATTACTCTGAATTACTCTACCAATGAGATATAAAATGTTACAGATTCAAGCTTATCAAGACTAGTACTGTAAAGGGACAATTTTTATAATTATGGAGAGAGTACTGAACAACTATTAGACAGGTCATACCCTATTAGGTCATTGTTTCAAAGATATTTCCTTACTTAAGCAGAGGAAAAGGAGGGGAAGAGCTGTAAAAGCAAGACTTCTGACTTCCTGCAGGCTTTTCCATTGAGTTTTCTCATGGAAATCTAGCAGGAAGCATCAAAAATATTCCTTCACTCCCCTTGTCTCCTCTTTCCTCCCAAAAACTATTGCACTATGATGTATCATGTCACCTAGTTCAAGGTTGTGGTAACAAGAGTCTTAGGAGATTCGTCAAGCATCTGTGCAAAGATATCCAAGATTAGAAAGAACGGCATTTTAAAAGAACGGGAGAAGCTCTTTTGGACAAACAGTGCCACAGTTTGTGCAGCTTGCGCCAGGGTGGCACAGTAGTTAGAATGTAGTACTGCAGGCTACTTCTGCTGACTGACTGCTGCCAGCAGTTCAGCAGTTCGAATCTCACTGGCTCAAGGTTGACTCACCCTTCCATGCTTCTAAGGTTGGTAAAATCAGGTCTCAGATTGTTGTGGGCAATATGCTGGCTCTGTATGCTGCTTAGAGAGGGCTGTAAAGCATTGTGGTATATAAGTCTAAGTGCTATCGCTATTGCTACTCAGCACAAGACCAGATGTAGCTTAAATGTTTCTTGGTTTAAATCAGGGATGTCAAACTTGTGGCCCGGGGACCAGATGCATTGTGTGCTGGCCACACTCACCCCTGGTTTAGCAAAGGGGGTAAAAGTCACAATACATCGCATGACAACTGTTAGATCTGGAGGAGTGGGCGCAATAACGGAGACGAGGCATCGATAGTGACTCAACTCAACTCTTTAATAGTGACTTCAGAACAGAACAACAACTAGGGCAGCAGCAGCTCTTTTATAGAGCTGGCTGCTGTCACAACAACCAATGAGATTGAATTAACCGCTCTAAAAGCGTCCAATCAGAGACGGCCTGCTGTCAGCCAATCAGGTCAGCCAGAGGCGGCCAATCACGATTCGCTTATCCGCGGGCCAATCAGAAGTGCAGCATTACGAGCCTGCTGCTGAAGTAAAGCTAGTATAGTTATTGATGAATGAGTTTGTTTAGTTCGTAACACCCCTCCCCCCTAGGTTCCGTCTGAGGGGTGGGGTGACATATTCTCGCAAGTAGGCAGACCGTTTCACCTGTCTATTCGATTTTCGCTGTTCCACCGGTCTCTGCTCTGGCGCTGGCTCCGGTGGGCTGCTTGTAGAACCGGGTGGCGAAGACGGTTCCATTACTCCGCTCGGGGATTCAGGGCTGTCCTCTCTGTTTCCATCTTGGTTCCCTGGACTTGCTTCTATGGCCGGGCTGCTTTGTGGTGAAACAATCACCCGGCTCGGTCCTCCTCCGGAAGTTGAGTATCCCATGGTTGGTTGTGCAGACTGCTGGGCTTCGGTTATTGGGTCATCTGCTATTTCTATTTCGGCCCCCTCAAATTCCCTCCCCCCCCCAGTTTGAGATTCAGGGGTTGAGATAGGGTTAGGTGCCAATCGGGAACGAAGTTGGTCTATATGGCGCTTCCATAATTTCCCATCGCTAATTTGTAGACGGTAAGATCTAGGGCCCGTAAGTTGAGTTATAGTAGCGGGGACCCACAATGGATCACCTGAGAAGTTTTTCGCAAAGACTAAGTCGCCTACCTTGAATGCACGACACTTGCTGCTAGAACCGCAAGGTTTTTCTGGCGTGTAGGTTGGGTGTAGCCGATCGAGGTGTGAGCGAAGTTTCCGGCCCATCAGAAGTTCGGCCGGGGTTCTGTTTGTGATGCTGTGCGGGGTGATGTGTTGGAGGAGAAGCATTCTGGTTACTTTGTCGTCAATGTCTCCATGTTCCATCTTGTGCAAGGTCTTTTTTATGAATTGGACCATTCGCTCAGCCCTGCCATTGGCCGCAGGGTGAGCCGGTGAAGTTAAGGCACGGCGGATGCCCTGGTCGGCTAGGTACTGTTCGAATGCTAGGGCAGTAAATTGGGGACCGTTATCTGAGACTAAAATGTCAGGCAATCCGTGCGTAGCGAATAGTCTATTTAATTTTTTAACGACGGCTTCTGTGGTGGTGCTTTTCATTTTGTGGACCTCGAGCCAGTTGGAATAGGCATCCACAGTTATGAGAAAAGTGTGTCCCTTGGTGGGTCCCGCAAAGTCAATGTGGATGCGGGACCAGGGACCACGAGGTGCGTCCCATTCAGTTGGAGGTGCCTTCAGTGGGGCAGCGCAGATTTCCTGGCACTTGTTGCATGTGGCCACCCAGGCTTCTATCTGTTTATCGATACCTGGCCACCACGCGTAACTTCTTGCCAATGCCTTCATTCGCACGATGCCTGGATGACCATCGTGCAACAGTTTTAGAACTGTATGTTGTAATTTTTCTGGGATGACAACTCTGTCTCCCCACAAGATGCAGCCCTTCTGGGAGAACAGTTCTGTCTGTCAGTGTTTGAAAGGCGCGAAGGTGTCGTTGGGTTCATTGTCAGGCCAACCTAGTTCCACCCAGCTGAGGATTCGAGCGAATACAGGATCCTTTATTGTTTCCACGGCGATGTTTCGTGCAGTCAGGGGTGGTGCAGGGAGAGTTTCGATTTGGAGTGCAGTTAAAGTTGGAGCTGGATTGTCTATGGCTTCTGGTAGCGGAGAACAACTCAAGGCGTCAACGTGGGGAATGGCTTTCCCCGGGCGGTGTTGCAGTTAATAATTGTATGCGGCTAGAAACTCTGACCAACGGGTCATTGTGGGTGATAAGATGTGGGGAGTTCATTTGTCTCCCGCTAAAATGCCAAGCAATGGCTTGTGATCGGTTATTATGGTAAACGGTCTGCCATATACATATTCATGGAAACGTTTAATAGCGGATACAATAGCGAGAGCCTCTTTATCGAGTTGGCTGTAGTTTCTTTCAGTCTTTGATAAAGTTCGTGAAAAGAAAGCAATAGGTGCCTCATTTCCGTTTGGTAGGACATGGCTTAAGATGGCTCCTACCCCAAACGGTGAAGCGTCGCAGGTGACAGTTAACGGCAAAGTCTCGTTATACTGCATTAATACAGCATCTGAGGTTAAGAGATCTTTTACTTGCTGGAATGCTCGTTCTTCCCGATGTCCCCAGACCCAGGAAGCCTTCTTGTCGAGTAGTCTATGTAGGGGCTCCACTACAGTTGCCTTCTGGGGCAAGAAGATGTTATAAAAGTTAATGAGTCCCAGGAAGGCTTGGAGGTCTGTTTTATTCTTGGATCTTGGGGTGTTTTTTATTGCCGTTACTTTTTTTTCAGTAGGATGGATTCCCTTTTTGTCAAGGAGGTACCCCAGGAATTCAACCCTCTCAGTACAAAGTTGACATTTGTCTTTTTTTACTTTCAACCCGGCGTTTTTTAATTTCTGGAGAACCGTTCTGAGTCGTTTCTCTAATACGTCTCTAGTGGGGGCAGCTATTAATACGTCATCGAAATAAGGCACGACTCCTTTTATGCCTTGTAGCAGTCTCTCCATCAGGCTTTGGAAAATGCCTGGTGCTACACTCACTCCGAACTGGAGTCTATTACATTTAAATGCACCTCTGTGCGTGACTATAGTCTGGGCCTCAGCAGTTTCTGCATCTACGGGTAGTTGCTGGCATGCCTGGGCGAGGTCCAATTTTGCAAATATTTTTCCGCCGCCCAGGGAGTGAAGAAGATGTTGGACCACAGGTACCAGGTAAGCGCTCTGCTGAAGTGCGTGATTTAGGGTGGCCTGGTAATCCTCACAAATTCTTATCGATCCATCAGGCTTTATGGGTGTTACAATCGGGGTTTCCCAACGGGCGTGATCGATCGGTTCCAACACCCCCTGAGCTATTAATTTGTCCAATTGTTCATCAATCTTTGGCTTGAGTGTGAAAGGCACTCGACGTGGCTTAAGGTGGATGGGCGCAACATCGGGGCTGAGGCTAAACAATATGGGGGATCCCTTGTACTTGCCTAGCTTCTCGGTGAACACGTCCTGGAACTCCTGGATGAGGGCCGCTCCCAGTCGCTGTCTCCGGTCTGGTGAATGCCAGCTAGTTCAATTCCCAGTGGAGCGAACCACTGTAACCCCAACAAGCTGGGTCGGTCTCGATCGACGATGGTAATAGGCAGAGTTGCGGTGTGGTCCTTGAAGGACACCTGGACGTGGCGGGAACCGGCAACGGGAATCCTGTTTCCCTGGTAGTCCCTTAATATGATTTTTTGGGTGCTGAGGTCCTGGCGACGGATGTCAGGGATCAGTTGTTTGAAGCTTTTCCATGAGACCATTGATAGGGACGATCCCGAGTCTACTTCCATTAAGCATGGACGATTCTCAATAGCGACCTTCACTCGGATCTTTCTTGCATCCAAGGATGATGCGTGACCAATGGTAATGGTTTGATGCGCCTCTTCCCGCCTAGCTGATGCAACAGGCACTCGATTTCTGTAGTGATAATGGTTCCATTGGTGATTCAGACGGTCCCGATTTGCAGGTGGGCTGCCCGTTGTTCTTCGGATTGGACTTGACGCTCGTTTGCTTCTGCAGACCTTTGCGATGTGGCCCCTCTTTCCACAGGAACGGCAGAGTGCGTCGAGGAATTTGCAGTCAGATCACGGGTGATTGGCCCCGCAACCGGCGCATTGACGTGCAGGTTTCTGGCTCTTTTGGTCTTGCTGGTCGCGCTCTGACCTGAGTTGGTTGACCTCCTCTTCCTCACTATCAGACGAGGATTCGAGGTCTTCATGGTGAGCCGTTGTTGAGTGCCTCTCGGAAAAAGGCGTAGTGTCACTGGCGAGTTGGCGGAGCGGTGCGTTGGTGCGGCGCATTCGAGCGGCCGACTTCCTGGTTGCTTCTGCTGCAGTAGCGTCAGCGATGACATCTGCGAGGTCGATGTCCCCTTTAGCCATGATCTTGCTCTGCGCCGCGTGGTCATCTAATCCCAGAACTATTCGGTCTCTCATGGCTTCCTCGAGGTTTGCAAAACCACAGAGGCCTCCCAGGTTCCGGAGGTCCGCGATGAAGTCTCCAACGCTCTCGTTTTTACGTTGGTCCCTCTGGTAAAATTTGTGTCTTCAGATAAGTGTTGGCACCGCGGGTGCATAATGGGCCCGGAGGATCGGTACGAGGGTATCCCCATCCATTGTCTTAACTTCCGCTGGTTTAGCAAGTGCCTTAGCCATTTTAAAAACGGCAGGCCCGCAATGGGTCAGGAAGATCGCTCGTTTCTTGCCAGGCGCAGTGTCCTTCAGATTGTTTGTCTCCAGGAACATCTGGAACCTGTCTATATACGAGTCCCAGTCTTCGTTAGCCGGGTCAAATGGAGCGGGTGGTATGGCGCCGCTGGTCATCTTGCCGTTGTTGGCGCGCTCTTAGCCCGTGCTCTGTTCGGTGCTCAGCGAGTGCTAAGTCAGCTCTATCATCTCCGCATCCCATCCTCGTCGCCAGTGTTAGATCTGGAGGAGTGGGCACAATAACGGAGACGAGGCATCGATAGTGACTCAACTCAACTCTTTAATAGTGACTTCAGAACAGAACAACAACTAGGGCAGCAGCAGCTCTTTTATAGAGCTGGCTGCTGTCACAACAACCAATGAGATTGAATTAACCACTCTAAAAGCGTCCAATCAGAGACGGCCTGCTGTCAGCCAATCAGGTCAGCCAGAGGTGGCCAATCACGATTCGCTTATCCGTGGGCCAATCAGAAGTGCAGCATTACGAGCCTGCTGCTGAAGTAAAGCTAGTATAGTTATTGATGAATGAGTTTGTTTAGTTCGTAACAACAACAATGTGATCCTGCAAGTTTGACACCCCTAGTCTAAACTCATCCATGATAAAGCATAATCATTCCTAACCCTGAATCTATTAGGACATTGATAAAATAGATGCCGAGTTCCCTCTTCTCTACAAGTGAAATATATTGTGCACTTTATTACAAATAATTCAATTGGTTTAATTGCTTTTAGACAACTGTAAATTTTGCCATTTTTAATCCTCTCCCTCCCTCCCTCCCTCCCTCTCTCTCTCTCTCTCTCTCTTAAATTTAACAATGCAATAGAGATACATGGGATGAGATTTTTTTTTAATTCTGAAGATGCTTCTCATATAAATTACATTACATGTTTCTTTTTTCTTTGTTTTCCTTGGCAGAAATATTAGAATCTACATCAGTTTGTTTTGTTTTTTACAAAAAAGAACAAACTGCATATCTAAAGATGAGTTTTCAGCTACTGTGCAAACATGCCCTATTGTAATTCTATCTGCCATAATAGTATCACTAAAGAAAACAAACTGATCTGTAATTACAAAGATTATTTACCTTGTAATTAAAGTGGTGCCAGTAATTCAGATTTCTCTTAAGATAGGTTCAATCTTATCTTTAAAAAAAATTCTCAGGATAAATTACCAAGTTGATGAAACAGAGAAAGATAGTTCCCTGTTTCTCTATTAGAAGGTGCCACAGAAACAACAGACATTGGAAATAAATGTTAGATCAAATAAACATTTATATACCTCCCAACATGTCACAATCAGAGGAACATAGTGATATCAATATACAGTGCATAGTATTGCAACTAATGTTTTTTTCTCCTTCTCTTGCACTGTCAACATGTATAAAATAACTAGCTCTATACCCTTGCTTCACTATAAAAATATGTGATTGGGCTTAGTTTTTGAGGAGAAAAATAAGGGGAAAAAATTGTGCCTCTGCCTACTAGCATCCATCGGTATACATCTGGATAGATTCCTGTCAGTGTTTGGGAGAGTTGAGGTCTGTTTGGAAACTGAAACAGTATTTGCTATGTGAGCAAGAAGGAGACAGCAAGGAGCCTGGACGTGGCTTAGCTCAACTGTTCTGTACTAAAGCTGCTTGGTACTGTGAAACTAAAATTAAAATTTCTTTCCTCTGCTTTGGAACAGATTTCTTTTCAGGTGGGGAAGGGAAGTAGAATCCCTTAGCATCAGAGCGTGTTAATAATAACATATGATGTACTAATGCTCTGATGATCATTTTGAAAAAATCCTTTCTTAATGAGCACCTAGAAGTCAAGAGGAACATACATGCCAAATTTCAAGTTTGTAGGCTTTACAGTTTTGGAGGTTTTGTGATGATGCGTGAATGGTATTTCACTTTTATAGAGAGAGATAAAGGCAAGATAAAAATCTAATAAAAAAATAAATGGTTCAATGGTTAGAGATGCTGAGCTTGTTAGCTCAAAAACTGATAGTCTACATTCAAGACCCAAGTTCTACTCAATGGGATGAACTCCTGTAATTGTCCCACCCACCTAGCAGTTTGAAAGGGTGCAAATATGGGTAAATAAATAGATACCACTTTGGTAGGTAGGTAACAGTGTTCTGTGAACCTCAACCACATGATCACAAAAATGTCTTCAGATGGACTTCCGGTTTGTCGGCTTCGCGAGCGGCAGGGATTTGCGAAGCTGCGCGATCCCTGCCGCGCTAGCCGTTTTTGGGGCTCCAACCCAGCTGGGTACGGAGCTAGGCTGCCCTGCAGGGGCAGCTGAAGGTAGGGGGGATCCAGAGAAGGGTTTGGGGGTGCTGCAGACTCCCTCCCTGGCCGGCAGAACTCCCTTTTCCCAGGACGGTGCAGCGGCGGTCTGTAATGGCCGCCACAAAGAAGCTGGCAGCCGGGTAAGAATGCGCAGGAGGAAGTGGAGAAAGTGATTGAGAGGAGAAAGTTTTTCTTGGCTCCTAGGACTCTAAGACATATCTAATAAAATTCCTGAAAAGTATGACTTTCTGAATAATACCTGCCAGAAGAGGAAAAAAGCGGCTGTTTGAAGGTGCTGAAAGGATAGCTTTCCCTCTTTTCCTACGGAATAAATAACTGGATATTAAGAAACCTATTTCTTTTAGGTGAAAATTGGTTTTAAGCGATGAGTGGGAAGAGAGAGGATTAAAAAGAAAACATTTGTATGCTAAGACTTTGTTGGAGCAGATGCCTTAAGGATTTGAAGACTAGAATATATTGCAATAAGATTTTAAACAGATTTGGACTTTCCTTCTCTTGGATTGATATTACCCCAGAAGGAGAAAGTGAGAACTCTGCCTTGGTTTGGACTGACTGATAACTTTGGAACTGTTTTATTTTTTTATTTTCTTTTGAATATTCTGGTTGTTGTAAGAAGAAAGAAGGGGAAAAGAAAAGAAAAGATTTATAATGGCTCTTTCTGTTGAGGAACTAAGAAAAGAATATGAACAAGCAAAAAAAAATGGTAAAGATGGTGTGGAAGAAGCTTTCCTTTTCTTAGAAATGGCGCTTATTAATTATCAACAAACATTACAACAGATGAAGACAGCAGAGGAACAAGAAAGAAAGAAAGGAGCCATTTTTAATGAATCTCAGAACTTGATCCAGAAAGAAGGAAGAGAGAAAGAAAAGAAAAGAAGAGAAAAGAAGAAAATTAAAGGACTTAAGGACTTAAGATCTAAAAAAACATTTAAGAAAGGGAAAAATAAGGTGCAAAACCAATATGATGATAGTAAACAAAAGGGAAAAGGAATACAACAGAGAAGGGAAGCTGGCAAGGCAGAGGCTAGAAGAAGGGGGGGTAGAAAGGTTTGTTGGGAGAAGAAAGAAAGGGAAAAGGTGGAGAAAAGCTACAATGTTTTGAAATTAAATGAAAAAAAGAAATTTTTTTTGGATAATGGATAAAGTATATTTTTTTTAAAAAAAAAAAGATTTTGCAAGGTACATAAGATGAGATGGTAGTATTGTAATGATTTAAGAGTTGATAAGAGATTAAAATGTTAAAATGTTTAAAAATGATTGGCTTTAAAACTTAATAATAGGGGAGGTTTAGAATATTGTTTTAATTAAAGAGTTTAATAAGACTATGGTATTGATGTTATTATAAAATTTTTATTATAGTATCTTTTTTTAATATTTGGATTTATTGTCTAATTATGTACTTAATTATGTTGGATGTATTAGTTAGATAGAATGTACCAAGCAAAATCGGATTGGGTATTAGATATTATTTTAAAGATTAATTTGATTATTAGGGGGGAGATAGAAAGGCATCATACTCTGATTAATGATTTCAGGAGAAACTTATTTTCTTTTTTTTTATAAGGAATGAGACAAAGGGATGATAAAAAATGGACAAAAGATATAAATATAATTATTCAAATTAAGATGATTAATTAAGATAGAAGTAAGAAGTGTGAAATATGTGGGGAAGTTAATATAGAAGGCTTAGAATGGTAAATAAAATAAGTAATGATATGTAAGATGAGCATGAATATAATTGAAGTCCATGAAGAGAGAGACACCTGGGTCCAAGTTACTTTCCAAAAAGATTTTTTTTATGTTTTGTGTGTTGTGTGTATATGTCTTTTTGGGGGGAGAATTAGTTAAAAATTGTAGAAATATAGATTGAGAATAATGGTAACTAAGTCAGAAAGAAACAGATGAAATAATAATAATGATATTGAATAAGAGTAAAGAGAAGTAAAGAGAAATTGAATAAGAGGTTTTGGTATGTTGTATGGAAATGGTTTAAAACAGAATTATAATTTATCTGACTTGTTAAATTGACAATGAAAAAAGGTTTAAACATGTAATGAATAATGACAATTTGTGTGTTTTAAAAATTAATAAAACTTGTTTTTAAAAAAAAATGTCTTCAGACAACATTGGCTCTCTCAGTTAAGAAATGGAGATGAGCACCTCCTCCTAGAGTGAGACCTTTATTCTTTCATAATAACAACACTTAAATTAAATTGACCATATACTCTTAAAGAAAAATGGAGGAACTCTATCCCTTCAATTAAAGTAGGACCTTTATTTATTTGTTTGTTTGTTTGGTGAACCATGGTAGTGTGGTGGTTAGAATAAAATATTGCAGGCTAACTCTGTTCTTCATTCCTGACAACTCAAAATTGACCCAGCCTTCCATTCTTTCATTCTCCTGAGGTTACTAAAATGAGGATCCAGATTGTTGTGGGAAATATTTCTAAACCGCTCAGAGGGTGCTGTAAAGCTTTACAGTATATAAGTCTAAGCGCTATTGCTATTTATTTATTTATTTGTTTTAAAATTCCAATTTAAATGTAAGAAAGCAAACAAAATAATTATACCCCCAAAATACAATCTCAGAAATAGTTTATAGGAATATCTGGTGATGGTAAAGAACAGATTTAATGGAGACTTCTTAAACAGAGTGGATGAAGAATTCTGGATTCATATTCATAAAATATTCAAAAATATTCCACATTATTAAAAAAAACAAATGTGGTTAAAATGACTGTCAACTGTTACATTAAAAATAGCTGCAGAAAGACAAAAAGCAAACAACAACCTTGACAGAGACAAAAATCATCCAATAAACACCAGATTCCAGAGAAAAGCAAGAAGTGGCAAAGAGATGTATCTAAATAAGGAATACAAGAAAATTGAGGACAACGGTCAAATGGAAAGCACAGCAAGACATTTCTTCAAAAACATTTGTGAAATTAAGGGAAACTTACACAAAGACAAAATGATTAAAGATAAAAAGACCCCAGATATGCACAAAGGTAGGGTCACTGAACAGAACCAGATATTTTGAAAGGTGAAATTAAATGGGCTCTAGAAAATATTGCTAACAACAAAGATGCAGAGTTTGCAAAATACCAGTAGAACTATTTAAAAACTTGCAAGACGATGCTGTGTTTGTGGGTAGCAGCGGGGGGGAAAAACCCACAGAAGACTGAAAAAGATCAATCTGTATTCCAACACCAAAAACAAAGAATTACTATTGAAACTACGAAACATTTGCAATTTCTAGCTTTCATGCTAGAAAAATACAGTTTAATATTTTATAATCCTAATTTCAGCCGTATTTGGAATGAGAAATGCTAAGGGTAGAAAGAACAATGATAGCATCCATGAAATAAAGAGATGTCTGCTTCTTGGGAGAAAGGCTGTATAACCAATCTAAACAAACCATTAAATCACAAATAAAGTAGTTTGCTTGCTTGCTTGCTTGCTTGCTTGCTTGCTTGCTTGCTTGCTTGCTCGCTTGCTCGCTTGCTTGCTTATTTATCCAATTTATTGATCTCCCATCTTACCACAGGGTAATTCTGGGCAGTTTATAATATTAAAAAATAAATAAAACTATATAAATAAAATACTACACAGCTATAAAACACAAAATTCAATAGCTAAAATATGGGGAAGGAAGGAATAGGATGAGTGGAGGATGTGGGTGGGATCTGATATTAATCTATCAACCACCCCCAACATGAAGCCCCTGACAACTGACCAAATGCTTTCTCTACATCATCAACAAAGTGTATTATTGTCAACATCATTTCTTTCTATTGTAAGCAATATAACTTACACTTACATGTGGCTTTACAGTGTTTTTACAGCCCTCTCTAAGTGGTTTACAGAGTCAGCATCTTGCTCATAACAATCTGG